TGTATGTAATTTTAGATTGCTTGCTTCTAGTTAAAAGGTCTTTATAAATTTCCTTATATGATGCTAAGCACTTATGAAGAATAAAGCAAGTATGGAATAAGGGAAAAACATTCGGCAACATCAGGAGCAGAAGCGTCGCGATCTGGCAACATTGAAACAAGTTTCGAGAAGGACCACTTGTATCGACAGAAGGCGAGAAGAGAAAATTTACATACTTAAGTACTAATAGTTTAGAAAATAATAATTTTTGTGAACTATTATTACTTAAGTATGTAAAAATTTATTACATTTCCTGTTGTACGACGGTTTTACCCAATTCTCGAACCGTGTTAGAGTGAATCAGTGCTATAGAAGTGCTGTGTTATACAGGGGTTACCTGTATAGCTATGCAAATCTTGCAACTGCTTGGCAACACATTGAAATGAAGTTCATTCAGAGAGAATTTTTGGAGACTTTTCTCATAGTTTTTCTTATGTCATATGTCTTGCATATAAAAGGCAGTCATCTTTAGTTGTTCACATTAATGTCTGTGAAAAATGATGAAAGTTAAGGCAGTAAAGGAATTAATCAAGAAAATTTTTATCCAGAAGTATAAAGAAGGATGTAAATGCAGCATTGCACAGGATGTGCAGATAGCTCAGTCCAGAGGATTATAAAATGTTTTCAAGAAAGATGAAATACTCATCTAGATAAAGCTTTAAGAAGAAAACTACCTCTCAGTTCCAGACAACTACAGTCCTTTTGATGCTATATTTCCCAAAACAGCCAAGTTTCCATAGAAGATTTAACGAAGTGGGCAAGGGAATACTTTAATATCCCATTATCTGAAATCACAGTGTGTGGCCATATCTGTCAGTGCAAATACAAATTGTACAAATTCAAGGGAAACCTCTCATAAATGAATCATGCAAGTGCAGATGTTTAGCTTGGTGAACTAATATGAAGTGGATGGAAATACTATGGTTGGATGAATCAACATTTCATGTAAACTATAGGAATACAAGCAAGAAAATTATTTGTACTAAAGATGAAGTTAATAATCCAGTATGTTATTCAAGACAAGTCCAGAAACCACAGTCTGTAATGGTTTGGGGATGCATAGCACAGAGAAAGTTGGATATTTGCATTTTTATGATGTATTGTGATCTCTGAAGCCTATATTCTAATCCTTCACCAACATTTATGTGAATTAAAGCTTAAATTTTTCCAAGAACAAGTCTGTATTTTTCAGCACAACAATGCCTGTACACACAATGCTAGGTAAATCAAAGCTTGACTAAAGTCTAATCAGATATGTGTACACCCCTGGCCAGCATCAAGCCCAGACCTATCTCTGATAGAAAATATATGGAGAGTTTTGAAAACAAAGATGACTCAATGCCATTCTTACATGTTAGAACAATTACATATGTATTTAAGCCGAGAATGGGAAAACATTTCCATGCAGTTGTTGCACAAGTTTGTATATTTCCATGTCTCAATGCCTTGCAACTCTTATAAAGCAAAAAAGGTGATGCTATTCTATACCTGATTACTGAATCTTAACACATTGAACAAAGTTCAAAGAAACATGTTGCAAAGGCTCCACAGAGTATAAATTACATTCTTTAATAGCAAAATTTTTCCAAAATCTGAGTTTTTGATATGCTTGTATGATCACTTATGTTTATAATAAATTACTTTTTGTTACAAAACAAACATCTGTGTATTGTATTATAAATTGTTTTTAGTTTTACTGGTGAAGGAAATTCATTGCAAGTGAGGCTATATTAATACATTTGCATTCTTGGCAATTAATTTTTGACAATTTCCATGGTTGTAATTAATTTTTCTAAACATACTCAAAATTGGTAAAACTTTTATTATCTGCAAGATTTGCAATACTATTAAATGCCTCACTGATGACAGGAAATTATGTCTTGCTGTAAGTTATATTGAGAAATAAAATTTATAACAGCAAGAAGTAAATTGTTAAATAGATATTTATCCTGAAATTAATTATGGTATATTGTAATCAAATATTATTTACAAGAGTTGTTTTTATTAACTATTTCTGCATGTAAATTTATTTTTATTGAAGTTATGTTTTTAAAGTAGAAAGCAGTCTAACTTTTACTAATTAATTAAATTTTAGAAACATTAATTTATACATTTTAATAATAATAAAATAGATAATATTTCATTTTACATATTGTAGCCAACTGATGCAGTAGAATTATGCTGTTTTGATTTAGAGGATTCAGAAAAATGGAAATCTATGTCACCCGATGCCATAAAGTTAGTTACAACTTATGTACCAACTGTTCCAATGATAATTCCATCTTCATTGGACTCAATGCAAGCAAGTTATGATATGGAAGAACAGTTAAGACATTTCACTGCAGAATTTAGAAAGGTACAAATAATTTATTCAGAAGTTTAATTTGATTGTATTACAAGTCCTAATTGATAAGTATTAGCCTCATGTCTTATATGTCGATATAATTCTTGTCATACTTTAAACTGAAATATATTTATTTAATGGATACTGTACAAATGTTTGGCTATTAATAACAATATAAAGTTAAGAAGTAAGAAATTTTTGTTTAGTTATGTATTTCATCATAAATACATTTCAAAACAATGTTCATTACATATAGATTCAATATTTTTTTAGTTAAAATATTTTTGAAACTTTCTTATGAAAATGCATTATTCATATCAAGAATGAATAAAATATTTTCAAATATGTACAGATATCCCTCATACAACATGGTTTCACTGTAATGTGGTTCAAAATTTGGGGAATCTCATACAACATGGTTTGAATATTTGGGAAATTCTCCATACAAAATTTCACAATTTTTTAGTGCAAACTCTGTTATTTGATGTTTTTTTATTCAAGTAAGCATGTGCATTGTCTCAAATTTGTCTATGGATTGTAGAATATTGAAATTTTCAATTTGTTTTGTGCCTTTTGTCAGGTTTACTTTAATGAAAACTGATAGTGCAATTTTTCTATATGTAAGCATCACAAAGCTCAATATATACTAAACCAAATGATTGCTGTAATTAATTGGGATATTTTTTGTTACTATTAATAATTAGATATTAAGTAATTTGGTATTAGAGGTAGATATTAGGCACTATCTCTTATAAAAATTAATAATTATAATAATTTACTATTTATTAAATAATTTTTAGGACAGTTTGGCAGCACACTGCCTGGTAAATGGGAGTTGTGGGTTCAAATCCCATTTACCAGGATTGATTCTGGATTGATTCTTTTCTTCCAGACTGTTCTAAAACTTATTCAATAAATAGTGAATTATTATAATTATTAATTTCAATATGAATAACATTGCAAATAACATCCGATGTTTTTGAAATGTTATCCATACTGTATGTAAAATATACCAATGTAAAAATAGAACTCTGCAAGTAATTTTTAAAATGGAAATTGCATCAATTTTCTTTTTAAATTTTTATTCAAGTTTTAGGAATTTTTAACTGGTTTACAATACACGATGGTTTTCAGCTTTATATATGTCAACAATACATTTACAACCATTGTAGAAAACTTATATTAATCAACAGATGAGTGCACTAGCCCAAAACACATATTGGCATTTGGAACAATCGGTTTATACACTGTAAAGTACATCAGAAAATAAAGTGGATGTGAAAAAGTCCAGTGTCTAGTATCAACACTTCATGGTGTCTCAAAATATAATTTAATGAAGGACATAGTTTCAACATGGAGGAGAGAATAATAATTATTATTATGTTTCAAATATCATGCTCAACTGATACTGGTGCCAAGTGTTATGCCAGACTAAAGTCAAAGCATAGCTACTCAAATGAGTGTAACATTAAGCTGTGTTATTGGTATGTGTCAACATATAGAAACTTCCTAACAATGTGATGTTTCAATATTGAAGCTTTCTGTAGTGCCATGTGTATGTTTTTATTAAGGTTTAATGTTTCTAGACTTTGGTGTAGTGTATGTATTATAACACCAGTATAAGAGAAGACAACAAGTACAATAAATATCTTACATCTGTCTTATTTTTTGAGTGAGTAGAGTGTACTTGTTAATTTTTTCAGTGTGAGCAATTTTTATGTTATGAGTGTTTGGAACAGAGATGTCTATTATATAAGTGATCTTACTGCATTTGTCAATGAGAGTGATGCCATCTGTGATTATGACTCTGTCATAGTATATTTTGTGTCATTTTCTAGTACTGCCTATAGAGTATATTTGTAGTATGTTACCTGGGTGTTTAATAATCTGTGTTTGTGTGGAAGCTCTTGGTATATTATATTTGCTATTTGATTATGCCTATGTAAATAGTCTGTTAGTGCTAAGAGCTATGTTGTATTATTTCTGACAGAATGTGGCATTTTCTACAAAAGTCATTTGTTAGTGATATATTCTTCAGGATGAATTTTTTAGTTTTGTTTATGACCTGATCTTGAATGGCAACCATAAACTTTTCAGTCTCTCCAAACTGACAGACCCTGGTCAGCCAGTAGTTTGATGCAATTTTGTCAACATAGTCCTGAATTAGGTCATAGACAAGTCTGCTGTGAAGTGCCTTTTGGACCCATGACTGCTTAATGGTATCTATGTTATTTATATTTATGTCAGGGTGCTAACTTAGAGTGTAAGTTTAAAGGTGTATGGTTACTGTCTGCCAGAGTTATAGCTTTATGTAATATTGATGTTTCTTGTTTTTTGCGGAAAAACTCTTGCAGTGTCAGAATTTGTTTGTAGTGCAGGTTAACTATATTTGTCAGGCACAGCCTTCTTTATGAGGAAGAGTTAGTCTTTCTACAGATGATATCAGATATTATTTTTGCTTAGTAAGTGTTAATCTTGTTTTTCTTTGGAGTTGCTTGAGATCTGTGCATGTCCAGTGTATAACTAAAAAATAAGTGCGTACAGGAACAACATATGTATTAATAGCTTTAATTGTGTGATCTTAGTGCTGCATGTAATCTGTTCTGATTTTCAAGCATTAATCAAGCATGGAAATATTTGGTTAAGAAATTTACTACAAACTCCGACCAGAATTAATATATTGAAGATTTATGTTATTTTTGTTTTATTATTTTATTTTAATTTTTAAATATTCTTCTGTTATTTTTTTTCTCTTGTAAAATATTTTATTTAAATTTTTATGTTCTATTCATGGAACATTTACATTCCATTTTAGTTTTCAACCTGAAGATGGCCTATTAATTAGGCTGAAAACGTTTGTTGTTTAAAATTATGTTTATTTCTCGGCAAAAAAGGTGTTTTGTTTCTCTTTATTAATCTTTGTTTTATCTGTGCATGTTCTGTAAGTTTGGCCTGTTGGAATTCTATTAATATATATTTGTAAAGTTCTCCCTCTTTCATGGATTTGATAATATTTCCAGTTCTGAGTACAAAATCACCTTTCTTCAGAACTCCTTCTTTAATGTGGAGTGTTTTGCATTTATCTAAACCCATGGTTTTCAATCTTTTTGAAGTCAGGGAACACTAAACCTTGACATTTTTTTTTCCATGGAACATTTAAAATACATCAGCTTTAAAGTGGGGTGGCAAACCTTTTTGAAATCAAGAGTGCACCAGTCTAGTATATGATGTCATTGGCATTTGCAGATTACATTCTTATACAAAAATTATTTTACATTGTATTGATATTTCTTTTGCAACAATTTTTAATTGTATATTTGATTTTTTCACAGAACACTTGAAGTGGCTTCATGGAGCACCCATGTTCCATGGATCATGGATTGAGAACCATGGGTCTAGATCATGGCTGCTGAACCTATAGCACATGTGTCCAAAGTGGCACATAAGGAGAAATCATCTGGCATGTAACTCATCATACAATTTCAATTTTTCATTTGTCTTTTTCAATCATCCTTTTGGTTTATCATCTGATCATCCTTTCTTTTAATCAGTTTTTTTTACATTTATTCTAATTAAAGCATATTCCTTTAATTTATTTAGATATTATTATTCACTTTGACATGCATAAACATCTTTAATACTAAGAATGCTTACAATATGGCATGTGAACTCAAAAAGATTTGCCATCCCTAGTCTAGACCAAACTCTATTTGTATATCATTTGAGTTTGTGTATGTAGTTTGTAAGAGATGTTGAAGCTGATTTTGTATGGATGCATAAAGTTTGACATTATCCATGTACATGAGGTATGATAATGTAAACAGTGTTCTTTTGTTGTGTCTGATATTGTAACCATATTGTGTTTTGTTCAGTGTGTTAGATAAAAGGTTAAGTGCAAGGCAGAACCAAAGAAGTCTTAAGGAATCTCCTTGAAAAATTCCTTGCTTAATGTATATTTGATTTGTTTTTATGTGAGTGTTATGTAATGTTGTTCTCCAGTGAAGCATAGTAAAACCAAGGAAACTAATGAGTTGGGGATGAATTTTTTAGATGCAAAGTGTGTGCAGCAGTCACATGCATGAGACACTGTTGAAGGCTTTTTCTGTAATCAATATATGCCATGTGTATGTTTCTGTGTTGCTTATGAACTTGCTGTAGGATAACAAAGTCAATGAGTAGTAGTTCTTTGCAACCTTTGCAATTTCTTGGCAGCCTCCTTTTTTTTTGTTCTGTAAGAATATCATATTCATCAATATGATTGTATATTTTGTTTACTCTTGCATTACAATGTGTTGGAAGACATGTAATTGGTCCATACTGCGCTGGGTTTTTGGTTTTGTGTAGGTGATGCTTTGCATGAGAAAATTTGGCATGTCTTGTGGATTGTTGATGATATGAATTAAATATTTAAATAGTTCCTGGTGCAGGGATATAATTTTTTTTTACCAGAAATTGTGAATGTTGTCTACACCAGGTGTTGTCAAGTTGTGTGCTTTCTGCATTGTACGATGGATGTCTTGTGTATTTATTTCAACACAATAAATACTAGGTGTCTCTTCTTTGATCCAGTCTGCATCAGCATTGTGCTTAACAGAAGAGAAGACCAATAATTTGTGAGTTCTTCAGTTGGCATGCCATTGTGTTGGGAATCAGTAGTGGATTTGGTATTAATTTACCTATAGAAGAATTTTTCATTGTTTGTGAATAATTTATTATTGTTTCCATCCAAATTTTGTATTGTTTGAGTCATTGTGCTTTGGCTGCAAATTTTTGTTTGAGTATATCAATGTATTCTATGATATGGACATGGTGTTGTTTGTACTTGGTGTGTGTTTTAGTTTTCTTGAGAAGTTTTTTTAGTTGTTTCGTTAATTTAGGTGTTGTTTTGTTGTTAGTGAAGTGTGTCAGCCTGCCTAACAGCTGTCTAATATTGTTTATTTGTGTTTCTATTCTTCTTTGCCAGGCAGGCTTCTGAAGTTTTTGATTTTTGTGCTTCTATCTGTGGATGTAGTTTTAGTCCATAGTAGGTCACTACTTTCACTGCACCAGCATAGACTAGTGTGTGGATGTCTGAGAGTGTAGAAATAGAATGAGTTCAATCTGGTATTATGTAAGTGTTCACATAATGTAGTGTTTTCCCTATTAGTTTAAAAGTGTTGATTTTTGGAATGCATGGCCATTGTGCAGGGTCGTTGCCTGTAAATTTAGTGAGTGCTTCTTGGAAAAGGCAAGAGAGTATGAATTAAACCTGAATCTATTTCAGGCAGTTATGTTGATATTGTCAACATAAGTGAAAATAGTGGTGGTAGGAATAGTATTGTCAATTCATTTATCTTGATGATCCTGATGGATATTATGATTGTTGTTGATGTTGGGAGTATTTGTTTGTTGTTTAATATGTTCTAGTGTTGTTTGTGAATTAAGGTTGTTATGTATAATTATTTTTTGATCAACAAGCCTTTGTACAGTGACTGTGAGATGAGGATAATGTTTTGAAAACAAGTGATGTAACTGTTTTCTGTGTGCTGTCATGTCTGTTTTGAGTTTTGTGATGGTGAAGTAAGTAAGATAAACTCATTCATGGCTGATGTCCATTTTATTTGTTAGCATAGTTACCTGCCTTAGTGGTCTGTGGCTGGATTGCCTCAGAAACATCAAAAATTGGTTGGTTTCCCAAAACTGGTGTGGCATTTCATTAGCCATACTTGGACCAGTGCTGCTTTCACGCTGTTGGCTAAGGAAGACTGTGACAAATTTTTTTTTAACATGAGCCACTGCCTAATTCACAAGTGCAGACCTTATTAACCTGGGTGACATCTGAGCCAGTATTAGACTTGGATCATGTTATTACCATGGTTAGATCCCTGCAGATGTGGGGTTCAGTCACTCTTGGCTCCATTTCTCCTACAGACCTTACTGGCATGGGTGACCCTACCAGGAGCAGATGCTCCAGGTGGCATAGCTCTGTAGTTCGTCAGAATTACTGAGCTCTTTCACCACAGCAAGGTTGTGACTGATGATAGGAGTTATTATTATTATTATTATTATTAAATTTTAAATAATTAATGTTTGTTGGAATGTAATTGTTATGCAATAAGTACAGGTAACCCCTGTATAACACCGCACTTCTATAGCACAGATTCACTCTAACACGGTTTGGGAATTGGGTAAAACTCTCATACAACATGAAATATAATAAAGGGAGTGTTCTTTTATACCTCCACATAACTCAGCGCGAGCATTCTAATTGTTTTCGTGGCTACTTTGAATGCTCTTTCAACAAATAATCCAATTAATGGTTAAATTTTACAATTGGGACCCTTCTTTTGCCTCTGAAAGCTCATTTTAGAATTATAGATTCCTCCATCACAATACTATTGATAGTGCAAGTGCTGCCATCTTTCTTTCACCATCGTTCCTAAATGCCTACAAACAGCAGCGCACTCCCGTTGCAGAGCGACCACTAATAACGAACGCACCCAAAAAACTGTTACCAGTTGATGATGCTCATGCTGATATCATCATATAGGATGAATAATCCTCTGGTAAAATATTTACTTAAATAATAAATAAGTATTTTACCTATGGAAAAAATGAATAATAAATCTGATTTAAATAAAGATTTAACAGCATGTTTTTTTAATTTTTGGAACCTAACCCCCCTTTTCGCACTAGTTCTTTGTTTCGTGTAACACGGCAATTTTTTGGAACGTAACTCTCATGTTATATAGGGGTTACCTGTATGTTAACAATTAATTATTTCTTCATTTTTTTGAACAGTTTTTTTAGAAACTTTATTTTACTAAGTGGACTTATATTTATGAAACAGACTTTACACAGAAACAAGATGCAGCCTTGTGCAATACTTTTGTTTACACTTTGTATTCAACTTAATCTGTCTGTAGATTCTTATCATGTCATTTAGTGAAACATTATAATTTAAACATTACATTACATTTAGTGAAACAAATATAAAAATGTGATATTTTTAAATTTCATATTTTTAATTATTTATTCTTAAATCTTAGACTTTTAAGGTAAAAAATACATAAATAATATTTGATTTCTGAGACAAAATTTATTTAAAATTGGTTTCAGGCTTGTCAGATACACATTTGTATACTCTGTATGAGACTGAAGATGATAAAATAGTACACAAAAATAAATTATAAATATATCAAGGGATAATGCTTATAAAAGTATGAGTAAGCAAATCAAACATATGAAAATGTCATCAGATATATTGCATTGAAAATCAATCATAGGTGCAACAATGTGGGTCCAGTACCAGAATTTAACTGAGGAAGAGGAGATGCTTACTTTATATTAACAGTTGTGGGTGAATTTACAGAAGAGTTATTCAAAATGTTATTACAAACTCAAATTCAGTATATGTCTACTTAATATCAAATATGGAATACAGATGTTCCTCTAAATAAATTATTCCTGTTTTCAAAGTACAATCTTGGTTATAGTCAATGCTTTAAGAACTATTACTACAAGTCTAACTAAATGTTTTTGTCTCAGAAGTGCATAAAATTTGATTTCTGAACACCATAAAAGTTATAAGGTGCAAGAATTAATAAATAATGTTTTTAAATTTCATTTTTATATTTGTTACTACATAAACATTGTAATGTTTCACCAAATGGTGATAGCATGTAACATCTATAAACAGACTAGATCATATCATAAATTCTGACTTTTCATATATGGTCTAACAATAACAGCCTATGTGTAAACAACACTTGCTTTACATAAATAACATTTTTTACCAAATGACCTGTAATAGCTGTTTCAACAATGCTACAATTTTGTTTTAAAGATTTTAAAATTCAACAATCATCAATTTATAGAATAAATTTAATAGTTTTGTATTTTTTATGATTAACATAATAATTTCTTACCTTGTTGAGCTTTTTCAACATTATAATTGGCATCTTGTAGAAGTTTAGCTATGACTGATTCGATATCTTCTCCAACATAACCAGCCTGTGTAAGTGTAGTACAATCACAAATAGCAAATGGTACATCCAAACATTGAGCAATAGTTTGTGCTAATAATGTTTTACCTATCATTTAAAAATTCAAATCATTAAAAAAAATGCTTTCAAATCACTCAAAATTAAAAAAAGTTTTTAAATAAAATGATTTTTTTTTTGTAAATCATTACTAATTCTTTCAGTTACAAAGTTTTAGCAGACAAAATAAAAACAAAAAACTAGAAATTTTTCATAAATTATACACAACAAAATATTCAAATTAAAGTTAAATTTTTAAAATAGTTTTCAAATACTAATGAATCATTTATAACATTCAATAATTCTACAAATTGAAATAAATTCCCATAGAATCCATTCCAGCAATATATTTTACTTTGTAGATTATCTATACTAATATTATAAAGAGGTAATGTTTGTAAGTATGTATGTAAGTTTGTTTGCAGCAGGTAATCTCCGAAACTACTCATCCGATTTCAAAAATTCTTTCACCAATATTTAGAATGGAACCTCAGGGTGGACATAGGCTGTATATTATTCCATTAAACATTCATATAAATTAAAATATATAATCTAGGTTAAGGCTTTTCTGTCCAACAGATGGGCTACAAGTACGACACCCTAAGTTTGCTTTTCTGTGAGGCATTATGCTTTTCTGTGAAAATGAACTAAAGCAGATCATCTTCTATCTATCTATATAAATAAAAATGTAATGTTCGTTTGTTCCTACTGATTCCTTTGAAATTTTGACACAACNATTATTTCTACTTTGCAGTCTAATGTTAACACTTTCCTTTTTAAGCTAACCATTTTACCTGATTTGATGCTAAACTACAACATGAGTATGAGAGCTATGCAGACTAACCCACTATCACGTCGTTTAAGGGGTGGCGCATCTCACCCCATTGAATTAGGTGGTGACAGTACCACCCACAATCATTCTAGGAAGCGGACTCTGACCCTAGGACTGAACACGTAGTCTTTTCTTTGATAAATAAAATTTATGATTTAATTTTGTAAATTTAAGAGTGCTTCAAATATGACGTTAAAACAGGGTTTTATGTCGTTACAAGTGGGTTTTTTAACATTATCTAGTATAGTAAAATCGTGGGACCGATAAAAATTTGACGTTATATTAGGGTTGTTGTTACATCCAATGTCGTTATAATCGGGTTAAACTGTATTTTAATTAGAGATAATACAATACTGAATTCTGCTGATACAATCCAATATTGATAATTTTCCAACCAATTTGATCTGATACTGACATTTGCTTCTATTCATACTCTACAGGTGTTAGTAATAGAAGTCTGAAAGCTCTTTGGTTTAGAGAGTATTCACTTTGTTCACTATCCATTTAAATTCAAATATAAAGAAATAAAAGTTTACAAATCAGTTTATGGGCTCCTATCAAATCTGAGATCTATGCAATCATAATTGTTTAGTTTGCCTAGGCCTGACTCTGGCCTTGTTTTTACGAAAAAATTTGAACAAAGCTTGACTAAATTTATAATATAGAAAAATTACCTGATCAAAAAATATGTTGCTAAATCAACTGGCTTGGAATATTGCCAGATTTGGCATTTGCAGGCAATATTGCTCACACATTGTCCTTCACTGAAAACTAAACATGCAACACAACACATCATTGCTAATTTTCAAAAACCTTCACATTGGCATGAATATAATAGATTATATATAAATTCTGAATATATATATCAAAAATAAATAGAAAATCAGCTGAAAGCAATTTAAATTAAAACAATGTATCAACAATAACAGTTAAAAAACAAATTAATAGTAATAAGTTATATTATTTTGAATTTGTCGTACTACTCCCATATAGATAGACATTAATTGTTGTCAATTAATTGTTCTCTGCTAATTTGTTCTACAACAGATATCTACATATTTTTATGTATGGCTGATGAGTGTCTTGTATACTGAAATCCATACCAGTAATAAAGACATTTAAGACTGTGCATTACACTTTTGTGTACAATACATAAAATGATATGTGATGTATTAATAAATTTTCTTACAGTATATTGTTAATCAAGCATTTTTTAAATAGATTCTGCTATATCTGCACAATAGACTATGTAGTGTTACACTAGAATAGCAAATATACATAGTACTTCTGTTTATAATACTGTGTATCCATTATTTTTCACAATCCTTTAACAAGACATCTCCCTTGAGATAACCAGTTTTCCAGTTTTGGGGGCTTTATTTTAAAATATTAAACATTTTTTTTAATATTTATATGTTGTTAAAAATGAAATAAACATAAATTAGAATATTACTTTAACAGTGATTTAACTATATATAAAATGTAAGATATTTTAAGCTTTAAAATTTTTGTTCAAAGAATTTATAATTCTGTTACCTATCAAAATTATTATTTCAATACAGTATATAATACTTATAATTTTAGGAGTCCATTAGGACAAGAAATAATTTGTTGTCAAGGTGATATGGTGAGACTGGCTGTTCGGGTCAGAATTTATACATATGTTGAAGATGTTATATCTGTATGGGTAATGTTTTCTGTAAAATATAAACCTGTTGTTTGAATTTATTTCTTAATCTTGAAGAAAACTTAAAATAATTTTTGTACTTAAAGAGACTTTTTATAATATATAAATAAAAGTATTCTTACAAATATAAAAATTTATTCTTATAATCTAAATTAACTTTGTTATTAAAAGTTTTAACATTTTGAAAATAAATTTTAAAATTATATATAATAATGTAATATAAATCCATTAAATAAATACAAAATTTATTGTATAGAATTAATCTTGTTTTATATATACAATATTTGTAAAACATTTTAAAATTTATATAATAATTTGTATTTTTTAAATATGTTTTTTTTTACTGATTATTTAAAAAATAATAATTTAATTTTTTTATTTGACTATTTAAAGATTTCAGAAAGTTTCTTTTAGTTTGTATCAATTCTGTATTGTTTTTTTCATTTGCAATTATGTTTCTTCAATAAAAACAGAAATGATTTTAAATTAATAAATGTTGCATCTTTTTTATTGCATTTTACAAACAGTGCACTCAGCAACAATCTTACTTCACTACCTAATGTTGCTGAGAAATTGTTTAGTAAGCACAGTTTCTTAGTAAGCATTATTACTAACACAATATTAACAACAATGTCACAAATAGAAGGCTTGAATGTAAAGTGAAAGTGAGCATTGTGAAAGCAGTACACTCTCCTACTCTTGCAATGAACATGGAAAAAAATAGAAACATACAAGAGCAAAATTAATGACCAATGTCTGAATGCCAAGGATGCAAACACATTGCCCTTGGCATAGAAATACATAAGAGTTTTTATGCCCTAATTTATTTTCTATTAAGTCTTATATGGCCCTACAATCAATTTTGTTTTTACTTTTATTTTTTATATTATATTTATATCATATTTTGTTCATTATACATTTAGTTTATTTGTTGAAATGTAAATTTTTAATTGGAATTTTCGTTCAAACATAAATTCAAATATCTAAATATTCTATTTCTGTAACAATTTATTACCAGATAAAAAATATGAAAATGGCCTATGATAATAAATTGAAAATTTTGTTTAATAAACAATTTTTCTCTGCAAGTATTAGGTGGTGAAGTAAGATTATTATTGCCTTTCTTCATAAAAATCCAGCAATGAATTTCTTGACTTTCCTGGCAACATTTAAAAGTTTGGTAGCATCATCTGTCATGATATTTTATTATTTAAAACTTTTTATATTTTTAATTATTACAAAATGGTAAAAAGCTTAATTTTGAGAGTAGGAATGGGTTTTATAAAAAATTGCAAATGCTAATAATGAGTAAAATTGTCATTAAATCCAACTCCACTCAAGATATGACACACAGTATCCCTTTATCTCCCCACTTCATCCACCTATAACTACCAAAATTTAATATCATCAATCCCCTAATACACGAACCTGCCTACAAAATTTCAGAAATTTTTCACAAAATGCACAGGAGTTATTAAGCTTCAGTTTTCCATAAGAAACAACATAAAATTGATTAATTTGTTCCCGACCTCAAAAACAAAACCTTTTTTGTTTTTATTTTTTTAGCTATATTTCATGCATAAAAATGCCTATAAAGGCAATATAATATTATATATATATTAATATTTTACAGGACTGTGGAGTCGGAGTCATGGAGTTTTGGCATTTTAGTCGGAGTCATCAAAAAATTCGCCAACTTCAACTCCTTTTTACTTCCCAACTTGTTATGTATATAAAACGGAAAAGTATTGGAATTGTGTCAAATTTGACCCTCCAGGTTTTTTTTAACAAATCTACACATTTGGAGAACTCTCAAACCCCTCAAAAAAGTCAATAAAAATTCAGAAAAAATTCACGTGCGCGTGTGTGTTGGTGTCTAATTTGTTTAACTTCTTTATTTTCTGTTCTGAGATATTGTTTAATATCTCAGAACAGAAAATTCCCATTCTGAGATATTAAACAATATCTCAGAATGGGTAAAGTTTAAGAAACGAAATGTGGCACTGTGGCTTGCATATAAAGGGGCATTAATACTTTTAAATTTTGGTTCTTAATTAAAGGTCAACAGGGTGAAGACATAAAAGTGGTCATGTGTCATATCTCTTAATGAATATTTTACTCATTATTAGTGTTCAAAATTTTAAAAAAATAAAATTTGTATCTACCCTCAAAGTAAGTTTTTTGTCATTTTATAATAGTACAGTAAAACTCATTATGATGTTCTCACCTAAGATGTTAGATTGTATATGGGGAGATGATTTAGTTCAACCACTTTGACACTTAATAACTAACTCCTGTATTAAACCATCTGACTCCGATTCCAACCACTCTGACCACAGAAATTATTAAGCTTCAAACAAAGTGAACAAAATCATGCTCCACACACACAGTCTAACATCCACACATATAGAAAAAAACCTCAAATCTTTTGCATATCTTAAAATTTCAAGGTGTCCTGAGTCCAAAAAATGTAAAAATTTGGAAAGGGTCATTTTTTGACCAAGCGCTACACTTTCCCTCTGTTATATATAACAACTGGAAAAGTAAAAATTATCAAATACATATTTATATATTACTTAGAGAAGTCTTTTAGCTTTGGAATAAAAAGTTTCTACATTCTATCTTTATTAGAACTCTATTTATTGAATCTTTTATTCTGAGGTCGCGTGATATCAGAATTTCCGGGTCTCTTTTGGTAACAAGTCCGCCCCTGGTTGGATTTGGAGTCTGTAGATTTTTACACGACTCCATAGCCCTGATATTTTATCTATATATAACTTATATAGTAGAGCGTCGTTTATCCGAATCAATTGGGGACTGGGGTGGTTCGGATAACTTATTTTTCGGATAACCGATTATGTACGAAAAAATACATTAACCTATCCCATGTTAAAATTTTTCTCTGTTGCGTGTCGCTTCGCGTTGGATTTTCATCGATATTAAGCCTAATGTAAACTTTTTAAAATAATAATCATGGCTATTGTATCGTTAAAAATGATTTCTTTATGTTTTACAAACAAAATAAATATATTGAAAAATATAAAAACAAAAATTATTATACTTTAGAAGTTAATCTACTATTAAAAACGTTCGATTTAGCATGACACACAGTTATCAGAAAAACACCACACAAAAGTGCCAGTGCTTCCAGCTAAAAAACACACATCAACAAAAAAATATTGGAGTAGCCCAAGATATAGTCAAAGATTGCAGTGCCACAGCACTAGCAAAAATTTAAATTTGCCGACTGGAATTCTTTCGGATAACCGACTTTCGGATAAACGACACTCTACTGTATATATGAATGTAG